GGCACCCAAATGGGATCCTGGTGTTCACAAGGGGAGGATTAGCCAATTGAGCCATTGTGCCATGGCCGAAAGTAATTCTTATAATGTGACACTAAACACCTAATCCAACAAAAGTCCTGAGTCCGGTGGCTGGCATTCAGGGTAACGTTCTGCTTTGCGAGGCCAAAAGCCTGCGACAGCCCTGGTTGGAATCTCAGGTATTCTACTTTCTTTCTTTCTTTTTCTTTTTAAAGATTTATTTATTTTTATTGGAAAGTCAGATATACAGAGAGGAAGAGAAACAGAGAAAGATCTTTCATCCGCTGATTTATTCCCCAAAGGGCTTTAATAGCCAGAGCTGTCCAATCTGAAGCCAGGAGCCAAGAGCCTTCTCCAGGTCTCCCACAGGGGTGCAGGGTTCCAAGGCCTTGGGCCATCCTCTACCAATTTTCCAGGCCATAAACAGGGAGTTGGATGGGGAGTGGAGCCACTGGGATTAGAACCAGTGCCCATATGGGATTCTGGAGCATGCAAGGTGAGGACTTTAGCCACCAGGCTACCGCATTGGGCCCTCCACTTTACTTCTGATCCAGCTCCCTGCATATGTGCCTGAGAAAGCAGCAGAAGACAGCTCATGTCCTCGATCCCTTGCCCCCATACAGAACTAGATGAAACTTCTGATTTCATTCTAGATAAGTCCAATCATTTTGGTTATTTGGGGAGTAACCAGCAGAAGGAATCAATCATGTCTCTGTCACTTTGTATTTCAAATATGTGAATGAATAATAAATAAATCCTTAAAAATCTTAATCCAGAAGGCTGAATGTATTAGAACAACTTTATGCAAATCCACTTACTGTTAAGAGGAAAGGATCATTGGAAGAGTATATTTTTTTTGAGGATTTATTTCTTTATTTAAAAGGCAAAGTTTAAGAGTGAGGAGTTGCAGAGACAGATATTTCTATCAGTGGTTCACTCCTCAAATGGCTACAATAGCTGTGGCTGAACCAGGCAGAAGCAAGGAATCAGAAACTTTTAGAAATCCCATTGGGATGATAGAGGCCCAAGTACTTGGGCTGTTTTCTGCTGCTATTCCAGATACATTAGCAAGGAGATGAATTGAAACAGCAGCCAGAACTTGAACTGGTGCTCATATTGATACTGGCATTATAGGCAGGGGCTTCACCCACAGCACCATCATGCATGCCCCATGGATCACTGGGAAGTCTGATGAGCTATGCTAGTGGAATTTGTAAGAAAAGAACTGCTGGGCCCGGTGCGATAACCTAGCAACTAAAGTTCTTGCTTTGCATGCACTGGGATTCCATATGGGTACTGATTCTAATCCCAGCAGCCCTGCTTTCCATCCAGCTCCCTGTTTGTGACCTGGGAGAGGAGCAGAGGACGGCCAGGGCCTTTGGACCCTGCACCCATACAGGAGACTTGGAAGAGGCTGCTGGCTTCTTATTGGCGCAGCTCCAGCCGTTGCGACCCCTTGGGGAGTGAATCAACAGACAGAAGATCTTCCTTTCTGTCTCTCCTCCTCTCTGTATACCTGACTTTCCAATGAAAATAAAATAAATCCTAAAAAGAAAAAACTGTCAAGTTTCAAAAACAACATTAGTGAGCTTAACTCTGTTGGTCTCAATTTCAAAATGCTTTCATTTCCATTTTCTGTAGATTAAACAGTATGATTTTATAGAATCTCTCTTTTGTTTTATGAAACTAACTGGCTAGAGGCTGACATTCTGTCTAGGGGTTAGAACACCTGTTATGATGTGTGGATCTATATTTGCTGCACTTATTGGCATGCATAGAAACCAGGGCTGTGGACGAGCCTGCTGGAGATTATTGAGGTTCGCTCTGCTTAGGTGGCAGTTCCCACCGGTGTGTACAAGGGCTAAGTGTGTGGTGGACAAGGTTAGGCTGGGCCATAGCATCCATTGGTTTCTGTATGAGATGGGGCTGGAGACAGAACTGACAGGGTGACTGCAAACACCAGTGTGTATGTAGGCTGATGTAGCTGATGGGTTGAGTAGGACCCTGCACTGGCTGGCACACACAAGAGTCAGGTACAGGGTCACCTGTAAGTGAGGTTTTTTTGGGGGACCCCCAATTGGATCAATGGGCTTACACTCTAGCCACAGGGAAAATCACAGGATCTGTGGTCTGACTGTGGAGTGCATATGTCGGAATTGGGCCTCCTTGGTTGCTAAAGCCTACTCAGTGGATAGCATGCGCAGATGCACTTGGGAAATCACTGAGACCTGCAGAGGAGTCTGATATTATGCAGGGCAGAAAAAATTAGATAACTGTCCCAGCCAATCATTAATAATAAGTATCTGGGGAAGTGGAGACTCTAAGGTGGACTATGTCAGCCAATGGATCTTAAAAGGATTCCCTCAAACTTGAACCAATGAAATCAACAGTGTCTCAGAACAGCTGAAATGATCTAAGCAGTACCCTTGAAATACGCTCCACACTGGGCATCCTAGGATGACGTTGGTTGGCCAGCCACCATCCCTGGATACTGATGTTAGGCTGCTGGGAGCAGTCCTCTCTCCTCTCCTCCCCACTTCTCCCAGATACAGGAAGAAAAAAAAATTGGAAATAGTTGTCTCATCCACTTTCCCCCATTTCCTCAAAATTTCCCACTTTAACTGGTGGTCCACATGAGCATACTATGTAAACATCACCAAAAAATAAAACAAATTTATTCTTAAAAAGAAAAAAAAAAAAAAGGATTGATTTCACTGAGTATATTCTCAACAGTACTTTGTTTTTTTAGTTATTATATTAAAAGTAAACTATAAATGATTATTAAAAACTCTTCTGGGAGTGGCTATTTGGCCCGCTCATTAAGCCTGTAACGATAGCTAGATTCCACGCCGGTGCCTAGGTTCACTCCCTGCTGCTGACACCTGCTTTCAGCTTCCTGCTAATGCAGATACCGGAGGGCAGTGGGTGTTGGCCACTCACATGGGAGACCTGGGCTGAGTTTCTGGCTAGAGTGCAGATTTCAGAAGTGAATCAGCAGTTGGTAACATTGTCCCTCTCACCTTTCCCTGAATCAATCTTTTAAAGCTCCTTAAATTCCAAAATACTATTTCAACTATAAAACATTAGATACAGAAAAAAGTGAATATAATATCTAGTTTGATGAAAAATAGTCATTATGAAGTAGCTTTTTTTTTTCAAATAGCAAAAATTTCCATAAATGTTTTTCTACACTTGTCGTTAGCCAAAATGCTGAGAAGTGATTCATAAATGTTTTATCTAAAAATGGCATTTCAAATAAGAGTATGTTTGGGGGTCCCAGCATGGTAGCCTAGCAGCTAAAGTCATCGTCTTATAACTGCCAGGATTCCATATGGTGCCGGTTTGTGTCCCGGCAGCTCCACTTCCCATCCAGCTCCCTGCTTGTGGCCTGGGAAAGCAGTAGAGGATGACCCAAAGCCTTGGGACCTTGCACCCATGTGGGAGACCCAGAAGAGGCTCCTGGCTCCTGGCTTTGGATCAGCACAGCTCTGGCTATTGTGGTCACTTGGGGAGTGAATCAGTGGATGGAAGATCCTCGTCTGTCTCTGTACCAAGGCAAGGGCTGTGAGAAAATGAACCAATAGCTGGTGGGCATTTTGGTCTGGTTAATGCCAACTCTGTTAACTTTATCAGTGTGCCAGCATAGTTACCTATTCTATTTTTTTTTTTTTTTAAGATCTGGAGGAAAGAGGGGTTAAGGAGACAGGTGCACGCTACCTGGGCGCACCCCACCTCCATTGTCACTGGCATGCGCAGGGCGGGAGTGGGGAAATGCATTACAAGGGGCTGGTCAAAATGGGGACTACTGAGGGCTTGTTTACCATATATAAAATGATTCCTGGGAGCTTCCACAGACCAGGCCTCAAATGTCACTGTCCTCAGGCACTTAGGCAGTGTGACAGCACAGTAGTGATTTTTCCCTCTCCTTCCCCCTGTCCAGCCCCCGGGGACACAGAAGGCAAACAAACATTTATCTTACTCACCTCCCTGGCCCTCTCCAGTCTGAGCAGAACTGGAGGCACACATGGGTCCACAACTGTCTCACCTTTATAATAAGTATTAATAAAAAGATCTTTTTTTTCTTTCTCTGTCTCCCTCTCTCAAAAAAATTTTTTGAAGTAAACACAAAAGTAAAAGCAGTGAGTAACTCAATCTTTAAAAAAAAAATGGCCTATGAAAATAATAGACTCATTTAACAGACCCACTTTGGTAATGGAATGCCATCCTATCATTACTTATTTAACAAAATACTGAACTTTTTAATATGATTTATATTAAATACAACTGTATATCTGGCATTCAACTGTACAGACACTTTAAAGTTCCATCGAACTATAACGATACATTCATCTTGTATCTAAAAAGGATTTCTAATTTCTGTGGGGCAGCTGTGTATGGAAACCAAAAAGCTTCTTTTCAATCAAGAATTATTTTACATGATACATGTTTGGCTTACAATTAATCATGGATAATGTATTCTTGTAACTGTAATAGGGCAATTTAGTACAAGGCAAAAGAGTTTCCTCTTAAGAAGTAGGTATCTCAGGCCTGGCATGTTAGTCTAGCAGCTAAAGCCCTCGCCTTGCACAAGCCAGGTTTCCATATGGGCACTGGTTCTAATCGCAGCCGCTCCACTTCCCATCCAGCTCCCTGCTTGTGGCCTGGGAAAGCAGTCGAGGACGGCCCAAAGGCCTTGGGACCCTGCACCAGTGTCGGAGACCTGTAAGATGCTGCAGGCTCCTGCCTTTGGATCTGTGCAGCTCTGGCCGTTACGGCCGCTTGGGGAGTGAATCAGCAAATAGAAGGTCTTCCTCTCTGTTTCTCCTTCTCTCTTGTATATCTGACTTTGCAATAAAAATCAGTAAATCTATTAAAAAAAAAAACCAACTAGGTATCTTAAGAAGTCTATCCTGATTCAGTCTTTTACACATTTACTTCCAAAAAATGAAGGTAGTAATATTAATTCTTAAAGAACCACTCACCCAATGAAAGCCACCATCTGTTCCACTATGTGCTTGCTGAACGTTATGATAACAAAAATTTTCTGTAAGGAAAAAATAAAATATTTTGTCATTAGAAACCCTTGTATAAATTCACAATTCTGATACTAGCCTCAAAAAGGTGAGGTTCTGCCCTTAACTGCAATTTTTCAATTTCTTCTAAAATAAAAGACAAAATTGAATTCAAATGCTGTGCAGTTGGTATTTTCAAGACTCTGTTCCTGAAGCAGTTTCAGTCTTGCTGGGATACACGGCTATGCCTGAGGGAAAGTATGAATCATGAAACCCTCAGCAGGGAGGCAACGGTGGACATTCACATGCTCTCTTGTACCTTGACCTTGTCTGTACCACGGAAGTTATGGGTTCCCAGAACTGCACAGTCTCAGCTAAATCTAACACAGAGAAACCTGAAAAGAATGTACACATTTCATGGAAAGTTTTTTACAGAAGGACCATGAAAATTCTGTTCTCAGACCCTGAATGATCGTGACCTTTCAGGCGCACAGCTGAAGTGATTAGATCTGGAACATTTTCAGTTGAGTGGTAATGAGGTTCTCGCTCCATTAATTAGAGATATTGCTTTGTCAACAAATGTTAACATAAAAGTCTTACTATGGAAACCACAAGGCCCTGTTAAGGGTATGTGGGAACAGAAAGATGAGGATACTTCTTCAAAGCCCTGAAGAAGTTACAAATTTTTCTACCAATTATAAATGCCTCTAATTTTTTCTAAAGCCACAGAGGTTCAAAGAATGGGACATTTAGCTTTAAAGATCAGACAATTCTCTGACTAAATCCAAATAAATCTAGAATCTTCCAAATCCTGCTAACAAACCCTTCAGTGTTGTCATTGCTTGTTAAATAATTACTTTAGATTAGCATACTATTTCAACGAAAAGATTAATAAGGCATTGTTGGACTCAGCACAATGGGTCAACGGCTAATCCTTCCCTTACAAGCACCAGGATCTCATTCTACGTGACAGTTCATGTCATAGCTGTTCTACTTCCCATCCAGCTGCCTGTTTATGGTATGGGAAAGCAGTGGAGAATTACCAAAAGCCTTGGGATCCTGCATGGGAGCTCTGCATCTGCGTGGGAGACCTGGAAAAAGTTCCTGGCTCCTGGCTTTGGATCAGCTCAACTCCAGCTGCTGCAGCCATTTGGGGAGTGAGCCAGCTGATGGCAGATCTTTCTCTGTCTCTCCTTTTCTCTGTAAATCTGCCTTTCCAATAAAAATAAACAAACCTTTTTCTTAAAAAAAAAAAAAAAGCAATGCTATGAACAGTATGATGCTAATTATTATAGGTAACTTACAGAGGAAAACATTAATATATAGGGTTCCATAGCAAACACCAGCTATTTATAGTTGAAATCTTATCAACAGAATAGTTTTGTCTTACTGATTTCATTACTATGAGCTTTCCTTACTATTATTTTCTAGCAAAATCAGTCGATGCCATAATAATTGCACAATTTCACTGCTTGCAAATGAAATAAGATGTTCTTTTTATATGGAACAGCTTGAAATTTCATTGTATTCAGGAAGAAATAAAATACATCACACATTTACATACATCTTGGAATCTGTTCGGCTGGAGGTCTGAGTGAGGGTGCTACCTAATAAAAGGCACAGCCCATCAAACAACCCTCCCAACCACCAGCACGGAGAAAACAAGCCAAAGTGGAACCACAAAGAAAGGGGCAGGGGAGGGAATTACTGGTGCCACAGTGACTAGCAGCAGCCATCTGTTCCACAAGGGGCCTATAAGGAAGAATCTTCAACAGGTTCTGGTAGGCTCACTCAGTGCCTACCTAGGTGCTAAATGCTGTTCTAAACGTTAGAATATGTCAGTGAACCAAGAGAAACATTGTTGGTCTCCTGTAGTTTATAAAAAGTCCATGTATGTGTGTGTGCCGATGGGTGGGAAGGCAGGGAAGCAAAAAACAGCAGCTGCTGTCAGGAAATCATAAGGCACATGAAGTAATATGATAAGCATGTTCACTTGTTCATTTTTTAGGGGAAAGTCAACATCCCACAGAACCTCTGCAGGCCGAAAACTTGAAGCTGTGTAGTGGTAAGAGATATTCTCATCTATTATTATTGGTGGGTGGGTTAGGATATTTTTACAGAAGGGTTAACAGCTAACAAGACATCAATTAACAAGCTATTAAAGAAAGCTATCTGATTTTAAGCTGGGAAAAAAGGAAAAAATATGGGTGTTAGTTAATCCATATCCCACAGTAGAGTGCCTGGGTTTAAGATCTGACTTCAGGGGCTGGCGCTGTGGGCAGTGGGTTAAACTGCCATCTGGAACAGCAGCATGTCAAATGGGAGCTGAGTGGGATGTTGGCGCTCTATCTCTTACCCAGTCTCTGATTACTATGGTTATCATTTTGTCACTCATGTGTGAGACCTGGATACTGATGTCAAGCACAGTCCTGATTGTTGTGTGGGCATCTGAGGAATGAACATGAGCTCTTTCTCTCCATTGGTGTTTCTCAAAAAAAAAAAAAAAAAACACCAACCAAGATAAATAAGACAATTTAAAAGGTTTGACCGCTTTGTTTTTTTAGGGAAGAAAGCAAGCCAGAAGAGGAAACAGGTTTACTATGTAATCAGAAAAATCTCCGTGTGTAGTTTTCCTCCCTATTATTTCAGAAATGGCTAAAATGTTTGTATTACTCACTAATATTGCTTACCCAGGAATGAGAAATGCTTGTCCTAAGCTACATCTGGATGTACATCAAGTGACATGCCTTTATAAAGTATGTCACTATGATACAATGCAACATGCAAACATCCCCCAGTCCTAGTTTAGTGAGGAATTCAAATTCTTCACTTTTAGGACACAAGAGGATTTCTGCATTCTTTTGTCCCAGCACTTGGACACATGGAATGAGTTTGACTTGACAGAACCAGGCTGGAATCTCAGGACCTCAGCAAGTATTTTACCTTCTTTAACAGGGTTCTATTACCTATGAAACATGTTTAAAAACTGCCTTACAGGATTGGTTTGATGATTAGATAATTAACGCAAACTATCTGGCACAGGCCCTAATAAAAAGCAGGCATTACACAATTTATTTTCCTTAATGATGTAAATATTTTGCAGCTAAGAAGGAAATATAAAAGAATGGCATGAAGACTGAACTTGAAGCCAAAAGAAATTAGGTTCAAATTCCAGTTGTTACTCTCTTGGGCAACTATTACTTATTAACTTAAGTTCTACAAAACGATTGTCCTGATTTCCCTATGCCAGGATTACATTAAGTGTGAAGTACTATACAAAATTAAACACCACTATAATTTGAAAAAAAAAATCTATTGAGAATGTTTTAAAATACATTAGTCAAAAATCTTTCTGAAATGAATGGTGTGATCAAATATATACTCTATTATAACAATAAAAGGGAATTTAAAATAAACTTTGCTATAATGAATAAAAAGGGGGGGAAGGAAACAATTCTCATTGTATTTCTAGACTCACACACACAATTCCCCATCATTTGAATTCTTTGATTCTTCATTCAGGTATGCATGAACACAAGACGCAAGGTAGATACACGTTTCTACACACACACATATTCAAATACTCTATCCTATTTGGTTAAGAGTACCTTTGAAGACCAGTAGAGTCTCACTTCTCTAACCACAAGCTACATCTTCTTGCCTCTTCAGAGACACTTTTCTTCCTCATTTTCCCCCACACTAACATCTGGCTAGTTTTCGGTAAAAGATATTAGTGACAAGAGAGGAAGTATTAAGCAGATATGCTATATAGAGTATATGAAAGAAAAATAAAAATCAGTGACAGGCAATATTCTTTCAGCTTGTGGTTAGTGAAGAAACGACTAGTTGTTTTCACTACATATGTGAAAACGAGGTGCATTTTCTCACATAGGAGCACTGTTTTTCTTTCATAAAAATCTTGGATTGGAAAAAAAAATCTTGGACAGGGAAGGGCATTTGGCCTGTTAATTAAGATATCATTTAAAGGCCCAGTGTGGTAACCTAGTTGTTTAAAGCCTTTGTCTTACATACCCAAGGATCCCATATGGATGCTGGTTCATGTCCCAGCTGTTCCACTCCCTATCCAGCTCCCTGCTTGTGGCCTGGGAAAGCAGGTGAGGATGGCCCAAAGCCTTGGGACCCTGCACATGCATGGGAGACCGAGAGGAAGCTCCTGGCTTAACATAGGCCTAGCTCCGTTTGTGCCCACTTGTGAAATGAACCAGTGGGATGGAAGATGTTTCTCTATCTCCTTCTCTCTCTAAACTTGACTTTCCAATAAAAAAAATCTTTACACACAGACACACATGGAGCTTCTCCACTTCCCATTCAGGTCCCTGCTCATGGCCTGGGAAGACAGTGGAGGATGGTCCGGGGCCTTGGGATCTTGTACCTGCATGGGACACCTGGGACAAGCTCCAGGCTACTAGTGTTGGATCAGTTCGGCTCTGACTGTTGCAGCCATTTGAGTGAACCACTGGATGGAAGATCTTTCTGTAAATCTGATCTGCCTTTCCAATAAAAACAAAATAATAATAAAAAAAAAAGATATGAGTTAGTAAGCCAGTCTCATATATCAGTTTCTGGGTTTGAGTACAAGTTTTACTTCCAATTCCAGTTTCCTGATAATGGAAACTCTGGGAAGCAGCAGCGATGGCTCAAGTAACTGGGTCTCTGTCAGCTATGCTGAGACTTGGGTTGACTTTGACTTCTAGCTTAGTCCCCAGCCTGGGGCCATGGCAGGCATTTCTGGGAGTGAAACAGCAAGTGGGAGCTCTCCTGTTTCCACCTCTATTTCTCTTCTGCTCTCTTTCCAATGAATATATATATATAGATAGATAGATATGTAGATTGATTGATTTTTATTGGAAAGGCAGATCAAATTTACAGATGGGGAGACAGAGAGAAAGATCTTCCACACACTGGTTTACTCCCCAAATGGCTGCAACAGCCAGAGATGAGCCAATCCAAAACCAGGAGTTAGGAGCTTCCTCTGGATCTCCCACATCCGTGAAGAGTACCAAGGCCTTTGTATTTGAAGCCAGATGGGAAGAGAAGCAAACGGAACATGAACTGGTACCTGTGAGGGATCCCAGCGCTTGCAAGGTGAGGATTTTTGCTTCTGAGCTACTACACAAGACCAGCTAAAAATAAATTTAAGAAATCTTGGAGTAACAGTTTCACAGGGCAAGAAGAAAGGAAGGAGGAAGAGAGAAAGAAAGAAAAATCTCCCAATGACAGTGCATACTTTTATTATCTGAATAATTTGTAACCAAAAGAGCAGAGAATAAGTTAACATTCTCTCAGAGATGAGCATATGTCAGCGCCTTACAACATGTTCATCATCATGAGGTAGTGAATCAGGGAGTATAATTACCTGGATATGCATTTTAATTATTGCTTTTCCAATAAGCGTTGCACCAAAGAAGGTCCAAAAAGGTACAAGAAAATGTCCACATGTTATTCCAGCCAGGTCAAATAAAGGGTTTGGAATCTATAAAGAGGAAACACAAATCGCCTGTTATAACTCAAAGGACAACTTAATTTTACCTCCCCCTGGCAGGTGTACTCTGCTTTAAGCCTTGCACATACAACAATGTGAGGGATAGGGTCTAGTTAGTACCAGACTGTTCAGGAGGAGCTTAAACAAATGATCTAGCGTGGCTACTGCTTGCTGTTCATCTTAGGCTGTTGGTTAACCTCTCATGGTATAGCCTGCTGTCCATTTGCTTCTATTACTTGTGGCTAATGCCCCCCACACATGTATCTTACACACAGATGTATTACATGAGAACTCGATAAGGCCAGTAATAGGCCCACACAGATTTAATCCCATTCAGCAGGGTTGGGTTTTTTTTGGCTACTTAGTGACTTTTCTATGGGAAGGTTTTCAGGAACTGCTTTAAAGACATTTAGGTAGGAATTAGGGTACAAAAGCTTGTAATCAGAAATATGAATATTAACTAAAATTGGTCAATCTTCACCAAACATTTTAATAAGTTCATAAAGAAGTTATTGGCAAAAGTGTTCTCATTTTCCACATCAGAAAATTATTTGTTTTCTATTTCAAAAGAGCCAAAGGCTATGGGGACATTTAACACACTTTACAAATATCAGATGTAAAAACAAAACTTAAGAGCACATAGATTCAGATGTTTGGAATACTCAGTTCCAGACAAGAAAGTGATTTACAACAAAGACCTTATTAAACATTCATACACTGTAGGAAAACTAAGATAAATTTATGTATAAATGCAAAAAAACCCACAAGCTCTTTTTGAGTACAACATCCACAGAAGTACTCTGCCTTTGCTGCTGCTGGCTAAGCCATTTATTAGCCAACTGATTTATACGATTTCGGTTTTTAAACACTGAAAAGTCAGAAATTTAAGCAAAAATTGTTACACATTGTTTTTCTTTTTTTTTTTTTAAAGATTTATTTTTTAATTTTTATTGGAAAGGCGGATATACAGAGAGGAGAGACAGAGAGGAATATCTTCCGTCTGATGATTCACTCCCCAAGTGAGCACAATGGTCGGTGCTATGCCGATCCGAAGCCAGGAGCTTCTTCTGGGTCTCCCATGTGGGTGCAGGGTCCCAAAGCTTTGGGCCGTCCTCGACTGCTTTCCCAGGCCACAAGCAGGGAGCTGGATGGGAAGAGGGGCCGCCGGGATTAGAACCGGCGCCCATATGGGATCCCGGGAGTGCAAGGCGAGGACTTTAACCACTGTGCCACCGCGCTGGGCCCTACACATTGTTTTTCAAAAACAATTCCATGAGTAAATTAGAATTTAAGTATTCTTTTGTTACTAACACTTGGATTCAATAATGCATTTTTATTTTCCTCATGCAATTTCTTTCCATACAACCATGTAATAATACCATCAGCACAGTATTACATCTGTCACATTTTATATTTTCTTATGCTACTCTGCAAGGTATGTGCATTTTAATTCCTCCACTTATTATCATGTTCAACTTCTGGTTGAAATAGATATTTATTCAAATTACACAAGATATTTAAAGTAAAGTTGATAAAAATTAGAATCTGTTAAAATTTGTATCCCATTCTGTGTTGGAAATTCTTACAAGAGTATAATTAGATTCTATCCACTGGCTCATTCCCCGACTGGCCTGAATAGCAGTGCTGTTCACTCAATGGTTGTGTAGTCCAGGTCTGGGGACAGGCTGGGCAAGGCTGAAACACTTGCCAGTGAGAGCTGAGACTGAGGGTAGGCCACAATAGGCTGTGTTGAAGTACCTGCCAATATATGTAAGACTTGAGACTGGGAAAAGGTCTGGTAGGGAAACTTCAGGGACTTCCCTGTGGGGCTGCAGTCCCACTGGTGAGTGCAAGAACTTTTAGTTCACAGTAGCCGAAGAGATACGTATGTACCTTTGCCACAGATATTTCTGTTACCTGGCTTGGAGTTACAGTTACTTAAGACAGGTGTTACAAGAATTTATCCTTCTAACTAACACATAAAGCTTTGGACAAAGATTTCTGATCTATAACTATGGAAATAATCAAGTCATCTTTATTTGGTTAAAAATGCTTCAATATGGGCCCTGTGCGATGGCCTAGTCACATGCCAGGATCCCAAATGGGAATCAGTTTGTGTCTCAGCTACTCCACTTCCCATTCAGCCCCCTGCTTATAGCCTGGGAAAGCAGTAGAGATGGCCCAAGGCTTTGGGAACCTGCACCCATGTGGGAGAGCCAGAACAAACTCTTGGCTCCTGGTTTTGGATGGGCTTGGCTCCAGCCATTGTGGCCATTTGGGGAACGAATCAGTGGATGGGAAGATCTTTGTCTTTCCTTCTCTTCGTAAATCTGATCTTAAAAAAACTATATTAAATAAAAGTGATAGCATATTTATTTCTTCAGGAATGTGTCTTTCAAAAACAAAGAGAATCAAAATATACCCTTATTATTTAGTGAAATTTCTCACTTTTAATACAATTCACTTACTGAAGCACATGCCAAAATTCCAAAAAATCCAACCTTCTGTACCAGATTTTGAACTGCCAGTTTAGCTCGAGAGGCAAAGTCCTGTAAAAAGAAGGAATTTAAACCATTATAAGTGAGTTAAAAAAATTAATAAAACGTAAAGGATGAAGAAAGATATATCTTTACAGCAGTTACTATATTAATTATGTCACCTGAGGGCAATGATTTACTTGAGTAACACGATTAAGAAATTGAAACAGGCTGTTCACTAGAACATATGCAGGAAAAAAAATCTTAACACATTATTGTCTGTACACCATTAAGCTTTTGCCACATTTTAAAAATTAACCAAAGACATTGTTATTTTATAGTTAGTTTTCTCTGGATTTTCTAGGCATGAACAAAATATAAACAAATCATGAACCACTGAATTCTTCTAGAAATATTGGCCCAGCATATATACATTTTTTTTCCCTTTCTACAACTAGCCAGACATAATCCCTTACTAACACCACAATAAGAAACAGAGTTTTGGGGACAGTCAATGAAGACATCTTTGTTGAATGCAAGCCAGAAGAAGCCAAGGTCACTGCAAAAGCGAAACACCATGATTGCACAGCTGGCACCTAGTCTATAAGATGTTTCACTAGCATTTTATGTGACTTTTTGACAGTCCTGGGATATAGGTGACAGTAATATCACACCTACTCTACAGAATACAACACAGCAGCCCAGAAAGCGTAAGTGCTAAGAGGACCAAGAAACGGTGTAAAATTAAGACTCTGAAATCAGTGCTTTCTATTGTACTACACTACTTAAACACGCATTTATTTGGCTGGCAACAAGATCACTCCTGATTTTCTTTTTCCAGTTTGTTAGTGTGATTAATGTACAGGTGTACACACACACACACACGCACACAATTCTATTCCTCACTTGAGGTGTCAATTTGAAATTTGACTTTAGTTCTTTCCTGATTTTAAAATGACATATATTTTATTCCAAATTCATAAGACAGTGGTTAATATGACAGAAACATTAGCTGATATGTCTTTTAAAACACTCTTTAATGTCATAGAATCTTTTCTTTCTAGTTCAATGCTCTAATAGAAATCCTTTAAAAAAAAAGATTTAGTTTTCTTAGAAAGTCAAATATACAGAGAGGAGGAGAAACAGAGAGGAAGATCTTTCATCCAATGATTCATTCCCCAAGCAGATACAATGGCTGGTGCTGCACCAATCCAAAGCCAGGAGCCTCTTCTGGGTCTCCCACGCGGGTGCAGGGTCCCAAGGCCTTGGGCCGTCCTCAACTGCTGTCCCAGGCCACAAGCAGGGATCTGGACTGGAAGCAGGGCTGCAAGGATTAGAACTGGTGCACATATGGGATCCCAGTACATTCAAGGCAAGGACCTTAGCCACTAGGCCACGCCGCCAGGCCCTCTAACAATCTTACAGACAGAACAGAATACAGAAGCTAGATGGATTCTTCACAGAATAGGAACAAGGTTAAAAGCAAAAAATAGTAAAAACAGAAAACTGGTTGAAAAACATTTCTCTCATCCACAAAGAATAACTGTATTCACACTTTACAATTTTTTGACACAAAATATTAGAATTGCCCTATCACGTTACAAAAATAGACAGTTCTGAAAGTAAAAACAGTAACAACATCCAAACTTTCCCCTTCTGAGGATATTGAAAAAAAACCCCAAATTAAATCAACAAATAATACTTAAAAAGATGTTACCAGTCAAGTGACTTCCAAGATCAAATGTGCAAATTCTCAACATTCTGCAACTTCACTGTTTATTTCCAAAGAGAGGATTCATTTTTTTTTCTTTAGCATTAGGCTTACTTTTCCAGTAAAACAGTTACATCAGATTTAAGATTTTAAAAGTACTGAGTTGCTATAGCAAAGGGATGTTCTAGTTTCATTCAGATTTCCAACCAAAGATTTTCTTCCTACAACAATGTTTGTTGCATTGCTTGTGAAATACTGAGTTTTACAGATATCAGAACTGCTTCAAATAATGACATACGGTTTCTTAAACTGTTCTTTTAATTCTTTTTAATTGGAAAGGCAGATTTACAAAGAGAAGTAGAGACAGAAAGATCCTCAATTCGCTGGTTCACTCCCAAGTGGCCACAGCCAATGGCGCTAAGCTGATCTGAAGCCAGGAGCCAAGAACTTCCTCTGGGTTTCCCATACAGGTACAGAGCTTCAAGGTTTTGGGCCATCCTCTACTGCTTTCCCAGGCCACCAGCAGGGAGCTGGATGGGAAGAGTAACCAGCACACGAACTGGCTCACATATTGGATATCACCAACTGCAAGCTGAAGATTTAGTTGTTGAGTCACAGGGCTGGGCCCCTAAACTGCTTGTTTGAAAACATTTAATTTTGAGGGTTTAACACAACGTAATCTCAAAAGTGAACACAAACTAACAATCAGTGGCAAACACTCATATAGAAATTTTTTTTTTAAAGATTTATTTTTATTATTTTTTCATTGGAAAGGCGGATTTACAGAGAGGAGAGACAGAGAGGAAGGTCTTCCGTCCAATGATTCACTCCCCAAGTGAGCGCAACGGGCCGATACTATGCCGATCCGAAGCCAGGAGCCTCTTGCGGGTCTCCCACGCGGGTGCAGGTTCCCAAAGCTTTGGGCTGTCCTCGACTGCTTTCCCAGGCCACAGGCAGGGAGCTGGAAGGGAAGCGGGGCTGCCGGGATTAGAACCGGCGCCCATATGGGATCCCGGGCGTGCAAGGCGAGGACCTTTAACCACTTGCGCCACCGCGCCGGGCCCGAAATTTTTTTTTTTTTAAGATTTTATTTGTTTTGCAAAGTCAGATATATAGAGAGGAGGAGAGACAGAGAGGAAGATTTTCCACCCAATGATTCACTCCCCAAGTGACTGCAACAACCGGTGCTGAGCCAATCTGAACCCAAGCGCCAGGAACCTCCTCTAGGTTTGCCACATAGGTACAGGGTTCCAAGGCTCTTGGCTGTCCCAGTGGAGCTGCAGGGATCAGAACCGGTGCCGATATGGGATCCTGTCACGTTCAAGGCAAGGTCCTTAGCTGCTAGGCCATGGCGCCAGGCCCGCAAATTTGTTTTTAATCAGTGAGAAGTAAGACTGGACTTAAGTGTCAACAACAGGTAAACTTCAGAGGTGGCTTTGTGGCATAGCAGGTTAAGCCACTTGGAGCCCAACTTGATTCAGCTGTTAGCTAACGTGCTTTTGGAAAGCAGTGGAGGATGGCCCCTGTATCCACATGGGAGACTTGGAATAAGCTCCTGGCTGTTGCCTTTGGTCTGGTCAAGGGCTGGCTAGTGCGATCATTTGGGGAATAACCCAGCAGATGGAAGATCTCTCTCTAATTGTACTTTTCAAATAAAAACAGATAAATGGTTTTAAAAAAACTCTAAAATAAGTAGTCAAATTAATATAGCAACCTTCACTAACAAAGGAAAATGAGTAATAAATAAGGAATCAATTACCTCCCTTGGGACAGAATCACTTTGCTCAAAAGAAATTATGCAAGAACAAAAGAAAATAGACTTCTTGTTATTTCAGATGCCTGAGTGCCCAACATCATAGGGTGTCTTAGCAACCTTTCCTTGAGCAAAAGAGTGAATCTATCCAATTTTTTTTTTAATTTTAATTGTAAGAAAGTAAAGCACCTTTTGTGAAAGGTATGTTTCACAACAGATTTCAAAAATTTTATTAAGTATTTAACAGTGACAATATTAATTTCACTTCCTGTAATTTTTTTTACAGGTCTTTCACAATTTTGTCAGAATTCTTATTTTTTTAAAAGATTTATTTATTTTATTGGAAAGGCAGATGTACAGAGAGAAAGAGAGAGACAGAATTGAAGATATTCCATCCTATGATTCACTCCTCAAGTGATCACAACGGCCGGTGCTGCGTCGATCTGAGGGCAGGAGCCAGGAACTTCTTCCGGGCTTCCCATGCTGGTGCCAGGTCCCAAGGCCTTAGGGTATCCTGGACTGCTTTCCCAGGCCACAAGCAGGGAACTGGATGGGAAGTGGAGCTGCTGGGATTAGAACCCACATGGGATCCTGGCGTTTTCAAGGAGAGGACTTTAACCATTACACTATCACACAGGGACCATATTCTCAGAATTAAAAATCACATTTATATATCAAGTAAGCCAACGAACCTTCACTGACATTAAATGAACACTAAATCTGAATAGTTGTTTCATGGCAAGAAATAAGCTATGGCAAGAACAGGCAGTTTTACAGAGCACTCTTGCCAGAATGTGAAGAAGTGCTTTAGTAACTGAATCTCTTTTTTCTTTAAATAGAATTTTTTTAAAGATTTATTTTTATTGGAAAGTGAGATTTACAGACAGAAAAACAGACGATGGAACACAGAAAGATGTTCCATCTGATGGTTCACTCCCCAAGCAGCTGCACTGGTCTGAGCTGAGCTGATCTGAAGCCAGGAGCCAGAAGACTCTTCCTAGTCTCGCATGTGGGTGCAGGGGCCTAAGCCTTTGGGCTGCCCTCAACTGGCTTCCCAGGCCACAAGCAGGAAGCTAGACAGGAAGTAAGGTTACCGGGACACAAATCAGCGCCTATATAGGATCCCAGCACATGCAAGATGACAACTTTAGCCACTAGGCTACTGTGGCGGGCCCAAACTTATTTTACTTTTAAGCTTATAACTATAAAATTTTCTGATACAGCTTTAGTAATTAGTAATTAATTAGTAATTTGCCTGAAATAGTATTCTTCTATTGTCTAAAAAAATCTACACTTTAAATGTAATTTTTGCCTTTTGATGATTTGTAATTTGAAATGTTTTGCAAACAGCCTCAATTTTTCACTCTGTAGCTTGGTAGCTGTACTTTTTCATGTTGACTACAGTTATACACCCACAAATTAAAACATTTAGATTCCCATTTGTCTATAAAATAGAGTGCAAATATTACTCTGTATATATTTGTTAGCAAACCATATTATAATCATTCACTTAATTTAACACCATTAACAAATCCTTTTACTAAAGTATGAAAAAGAATTCTGAGCAAAAGTTGCTATTCTTTTTTAGTATAAGTAACACAGATAAGT